TGATAGTTTTTAGGGTAATATGAGTACATATTAATTACCTAATTTGCATAATTAATTAATTTTCAGCTTTTGATATATCAAGTAGTAATCATCATATTTCAATGAGACTTGCTACATAGATCTTCTAGGATTATGCAGACACCTGATTAGTTTTAATTGGATGTTAATTACCTAATTTGCATAATGTTCCACTGATATATAAAGAACCACAAATTGGATTTTATTGAAACTTTTAAAGAGAACTATGCAGAAACCCAATTAGTTTTTGGTAAATATTTATGCTTATTAATCACCTAATTAACATAATTAATTAACACTGATATCTCAATTACTGATCATCACATTTGAATAAAATTTGGTACATAAATGCTCTAGTGCATTAGACAGGCCTGATTAATTTTGATTAATATTAATTCTCTAATTAGCATAATAATTCATAATTTTTTTGTTCTGTTCTGTTCATATAGTTACCTGATTTACATAATTAGTTTTCTGCTTTTCCATCAATATCTCATGTACAAGTAATTTTGAATTAATTTTTAATGTGTCTTCAATACCCTCAGCACACAGGAGTTCTTTCTAAGCTTTCTTTGATTCAACTTTTTAATCAAAACCTTTATCCAATAGAAAACAAAACTGTTCATTTGATTCAAAGTTAGGCCAGACTTTTATTATCCCTTGTTTCGCGAACCCGTGGAATGAGCAGGAGCCAAAAATGAAATAAAAATAAAATTTTATTTCAGCGTAATTTCTCGCGCCCACCGAATTAGCTAAAAAAATATTATTTTTATCTTAATTTTTTTACCGCCCGCCGCATAACAAATCCAAGTTGCATTTTCGTGGGAGTATCATGATCAAAGTACCGAAGTCTCGCGCAGATGAGAAACAAGGTTAAACATGGAATAAAATGTTATTTCATTTCTTCTCTTCGATCAAATATCTCACTTACAATTCTTTGAGAATCACACAAATATAATGAAAAAAAAGAATTAATTTTATTTTTTTCCGCCCCCCAAAAAATTGCCTTATAAAAACTCGAGAAACAAGGAATAAAAAAAAGTCTGGCCTTAAGGAAACAAAAAATATAGAAAATTGGGTAAAATGTTTCACTAAAAAAGGTTAATGCCATTTTATTTGCTTATATGTAACCTGAAAAAAAAAACTGACAACTAACAAGAAATTATCATTTCATGATTATTAATGTGGGGAAAGTCGGGAAAGTCCTGGACATTGTGGCAGTCGCCCATAGTGTGTCGATGTTAACAAAAAAGCCCTTCTCATGATCCCATGTTTTTTTTTTTGAATATATGGCTATATAATCGTTATTATTGCTTGTATTAACAATAGTGCTAGTTAACAATAGTTAACAATAGTTAACACTTTTGTCTTACAGCTGCTGCATTGGGGAATCTAGTGTCAGACTTGGCAGGTGTCGGGTAAGTTCTATTCCTGTTTAAATTTTTCTGAAATTTCGATTCTAATAGTCTTCAGAATTAACCTTTTCACCACCAGTTATTTTTTTCATCACAATTTCACAAAATAGTCACATTTATAGTCTGAACATTTCTTCTGAAAATTGGGACAAAAATAAACAAAGTTTTTGAGTAAAAATTTTTGAAAATTGACTCAAATTTCAGAAATATTGAAAAATATAAGAAATAAGTGCAGACAAATTTGGGCGAGAATGTCTGGGATGAAAAGGCTAAATGTTAGTATATCTTTTATCACTACCAGTCATTTGTAAGGTATGATCAAGTTATATGCTATTAGTTATTATTGCTGAAAAAATACGATGAATAATAGAATTCTGAGACTCTATATTTTCCTAAATAAACTCAAGTGTTAATTTTAATGGACACACTTTGTATTGAGATTGTCTTAAGTGATAAAATCCAAAAATGCAAATTTTTTAAAACAAAAGAAATGAAATCATGGTTTAATTCGAAAATAAATATAATAATTTTCAGAAACTTCAATTTTTAGTTCAAGCAGAAAATATATAATATGGTGGAGGTAAAACATGATCTTCATTCAAAACATTATAGGTTTGTATATAAATGTCAACAAACATGAGTCTGATCCTCAGTCGTATTGTACTTCCAATGTGCCACTGCATTCATATTATATGAGGTTATTATGAGAATACCTCAAAGTATGAACGAAGACTGTACAACTGGAGTATCGACTGGCGCAAAGCGGCGTACTGTCTGAGTGCATACTTTGAAGTATTCTCAGAATAACTTTATTATTATACATCTTTTCCTTCCAAGGATAAATCATGGGAATGCCGAAATCCAAAAAGTTTAGAACAGAATCAGCGAACTTCCTTGTGTGGAGTACGGTCAAACTCTGGTGGCAAAGTTACGGCACGCTGTAACTTTATGGCGTTACAGAGACAGATGTATAATAATATATATTAATATGAAATATGATGTCTATGTAAATCAACTTTGTGTAGTTATACTGAGGCTACTTATAGTTATCTTCTGTTTTAGTCAAAGAATTTTAGGGTAAAGGTAAAGTCAGTTGAGTTTCCTGGTTTCTAGGCTGTGGTAAATGGTATCCAAGACCACCTGTTGTCTCCATATAGTTGATTTCATCGTCTGATTTGCACGGTTTCAAAGCCGACCAGCCATGGCCGTCCCTATGAAACTTTGCGTGATCATGTTAGGAAAGGATGTTTTTGACTTTGGTTAAATTGAATTGAATGATTAGACTTTGTGTTCCATTGGCCATGGGAATTTACCACAGCGTTCATTGTTGTGTTTGATTTCTCTGAGAGTAAATACAGATTTATATGCAGGATTTTGCCAAGATTTAATGGTGAGGTGACGACCGAATAAATTAACCTTGTCTAGTGAAGATGAGTTGATTTATGTCAAGATCTCTCCATTTTCTTTCAGACTTGCTGGTTATGTTGAAGCATTAGCATCTAAAATAGGGGTCCATCGACCACACTTAACTCGGGAACAAGTGGACATGAACTCTACTCGATATTCTGCAAGCTTAGTAAGTATTGATTAAAATTTCAGAAAAATTATAAAAAAAAATTGCAATTTATTGTGTGAAAGGTGACAATTTAAAGTGCTCAAAAGATTGAATGTACACCGGTATTAATATTGTATTGTTTGTTTCACAAACCTCGTACACTTACAGTGGGTACACCATGCAGAACTAACACCTGCACCTGGTAGGTAATTACCGAGTGACTTTGCAACATCCCCAGACACTTTCCTGAGCCCTTGATTAACTAATACCAAAACATTACAGGCAGTATGCATTAGATGTGTGGACAAAGTAATAGTGTAGTTGGACGCTTTGTAGGTACGAAAAAACATTGTAACACTCGCAATACGAACATAAACAGGGAATAAATATTCTCAAAAAATGATAGATCTAAATTCCGTTGATTGGTAGTTTGTTATCATTGAGCTGATAATATTAGCGTTTAGATTAGTGTCACGTTATATGGGAAGTCCCATTGCAAGTTTGCCTGAACATTTATCACCCATTCAATCTATGCCGGGAATATACTACTTTTATAATTTGATAAACTTAAGGAATATTGTGCAGACTACAGTCAACAGCCATAGCTACATTAGAACATATCCAACAGATGTAATGGAAATGACACATAATCCCCTGAACCATTGCCCTCACTAGTCCAATTTACTTGGCGATCAATTTCCACACAAGAAGATGCGAATAATCTTTTTTTTTGTCTACACACTTTGACATAATAGCAGTAATTGTGAAGTCAAAATCAGAAAACTGCATTCAAAACAAACTGTTTTTTTTTTAAGGTTTGTAATTTTCATTCAAAAACAAATTTATTATTAAATGAATAATAAATAAATATGCATCAAATATTAGCATGTCCGATAACAAAAATGAAGCATTGTTTGATAAATGTTGACTGGTCGTAATAGTTTAACCAATCTGAAATGGTCCATTAACTGTCATGTATGTGACTATATTGCATCTACAATGATCCCAGGGTAGGGGTCGACCCTTTGATGTTCAGCCTAACGTAGGATTTGAACTTGGGTCTGCCGATCATGAGTCTGATGCGACAACCATTATGCTACCAGTGACCGGTTTTAACCAAAATTTTAACCATTTCTCATATGTGTAAATGCTCTCAAAGAAGCCGCATCCCCTCTTTTGCATTGTACCATGTTAATAGAAGCCACGGTTTTTAATACAGATTTTATTATTTTATCCTTTAGAAAGTGAAATATGCACTGTGTTTAATTTTAGTAGATTTGATGTTTCTGAAATTATGTCTAGTTTCTAATTTAACTGATTTGTGATGAGCACAATACATTCCATTGTTAACATTTGCTTGGGATTTTAAATTTAGTGCACAATAATTAATAAAATCTAATGACTAATTATTATTTATGTATCACTTCAATTTGTGGGTAATGATGATCTTGGTGTGTATAGAAAACAAATATATTTTTAATAAAATACAGATCTGCCAGCCATTTAATATTAACAATTTTAGGTAACATTTCGTGTTTAAAATAGACTAAATTTATGATGACCTAGTGCATTTTAGTCAAACTTAATTGGTTGATCTGTGTTTATTTTTTATGTATGTTTTTTTAATGAGCAAAATCCCTGTGGTTAGATTTTTGAGAAAGTGCTCATTTGCATATCATTTGTATCTCATTAAAATTATGTGCCATTGATAGTCCTGTTCTTCCGATGCAAATTTGAACCAGTCGGAGCACAGAAATTATTTCAAAACTAGACTTTAGGGTGCAAACACCGGTCAGTTGTAGTTCATGAAAATTCCTATATTTGGGGTTTGAAATTTAAGCATACTATTTGCTTAATTTGCATATTTTTGTCAAAAAACAATTACTGCATTTCAATAAGGCTTGGTATATGAGTGCCTAGAAACAATTTAATAGTTTTGAATTGAAGTTTGAGGATACTAATTGCATAATTATCACATTTCATTGAAATTTGGTTCATAGATGCTCTGGTGTAATCCACAGATGTGATTAGTTTAATAATGAAAAACATGCATATTGATTATCTAATTATTATTAACCAATTATTGGTACTTCAAAAAATCAGATTCAAATTGAACTTGTGGTAGAGGTGTTCTGGAATAAATTAGACTGAAAACCTCACATGTAAAAGAATTATAATCTTCAATAATGTGGATTACATTGTTTTCATGTTGTACATCAAGCTGCTTGTTTAGTAGGCTAATTGATTTTTAATGTCACCAATTATCTCAGCACATGGGCGTTTTTTTCTAAACTTTCTTTGATTATATCTTACAGGGACGAGCTATTGGGATCAGTATAGGATGTATATTGGGAATGTTTCCCTTGTTTTTCTTGAAAAAAAGTGAGAAAAAAGAAGAAAATAGTAAAGAGAATATTGAGGATGCCAATAGGTGAATTCAGTGGGGAATTTAGTCTTATAGATGCAGAACCATTTAGTGGTCATTATTATCGCTCACATGTACATGTCGGGAGCAAACATCTGAGCATTTTAACTGCCTGGCTGGCAACCATCACAGGGAAAACAAAGGTTGAAAAATTACAGAAAACTGTATGGTAGTTGTTACGGCTCCCCCGAACAGTGTAACAAGGTTACCCTACATGTGCAACATATATAAATTTGGTTGCTCAGGATTATTTCAAATTTGAATTTGCATTGTTTTCACCAGCCCTTCGACTGGTGTTCCGCAATAGCTAGCAATAGATCCCTAAGAAATGCATGATACAGTGCTGCACATCTCAACAGTGTAGAATGTTATGTGACGCAGCTTTGCTCCTGAGAATATGTGTGTACATGTATATTAGTGAACTTATTTTTGCTTTATTTATTAATTAACTCAGATTATGTCTAAATCTTGTCATGTGCCTGTTGTGCATATGGTAGCAGTTTCAATGTCAATATATTTGTTTCATTTTATAGCAATTGTGTGAGTTTCGGATCAGATTTGTTTCCTAACAAGTTATTCTCTGTAAAAATATTGTCTCAAATCCTGCCTTTTACTGAAATCCAAATGGTCCAGTGTTACTACATTGAATTAATACATGCTGCCTTGTTTAAACATGCACCATGGTATATTTTTGTGAAATCTCAATTCATTTTTCTGACCTAATATTAGGTACATGAAATGCCATTTGCTGTAATAATAATAATAATTTTCATCTAAATAATGATGTGGGTTATTTATGTTTAATTTCAATGCAGACGTCGACTACCGGTGTATAGAGACATAATGGTGTTAGTAATATGAGGTTATTGCCAAAATACCGCAAGACATGCACAATGCGACTGCATACTGTGCTGTTCCTTGTAATAACCTTATTATTGTACATCTTTGCGAACCAGCCTCTTGATATAGGAAGCCCAGACAGAGCTGGGCAAAATTATTAGAACTTTCTTGCTATGAACTTTGTTTTCAAACGCGTCCACCACCCTGGAAATACCACATTATCATTCCATATCTGGAATGCACATTTCCTAATATGGTAGGTGTAGATACCGATTGTAATACTACAAAATTACAGCATGCTGTAACTTATCCCAATACAGTGAAAGATGTATAATAAATTGTTTTACTCCCATGGTGCATTTTATATGAGAACTAAATGAAAACATTTACCCGGTACCTATCATTCAACAAAATGTTCTGGCATTCAAAGTATCTGACAGAGAATATTACAATAAGTTGAACCCTAATAATAAAACCAATCAAAATGACAAGTATTTTAAAATTAGTTTCACATTTTGAGGTATTAATTTGAATGTGCCTGTTGAGTAAAATTACTTTACCCATAGTCCTGTGCAATTCCCAAAAATAGAGGTTATTTGATGAAACTCTTGGTAATGTGACTAAGTAATTCATGGTTTCATAAATTATGAAAGTGAATTTTTTGTCTTATTTTTTTATTTTTTTTATTTGCTAAAGAGTTAAAAAAGATTACTGGTAATATTATGATGTGATCTGCAGGTGTTGTGTCTGTCTGTCTGTCTGTCTGTCTGTCTGTCTGTCTGTCTGAATGAGTGTATGTTTGTCATACTTTATGAGAAGCCAATTTTTCCAATAGAAATGCATGTACTAGTATATCAAAGATTTTATTTGTTGTATATGGAATTATTAAAATGTGTATCATTAAGGTATCATTACCTTACCTAGCAACCCATTGTCTTGTTGTGCCACCTCTACATCCTTAGTCGCAACCTCACCCAAATGTTGACTTTGGTTTTGTTCCTGTACCCTCCACGAGTACAGCTTGCTATGCCACTATTGCTTAAGTATAAGGACTTGCTTAGCTCATTTATTAAAGTGGCCTACACCAGCTGCTATGGTTGCACCATCTGTGTTCATACTTTATATTTAGGTCATAAAGTATGCCCTTGACGTTCACATCACTTCCAGAACCGGCTTTTGAAGCTGTACATCTTTCCGGGTGACCTGTATGAAGCTGATGACAGAACTATCTTCACTTCATTGCTCAGCAAAGCTATGCAATGAAGATGGAAGGTAGTACATCAGAATGTGATACTACACATACAGGCAATACACATGTTTAAGTTTTTCGTGGGCTGAGACTGTAAGGCTACATCATTTGTACCCCCCCCCCTGAAGCCGGTTCATTCTAAATTATCACAGGCTTACACTCATCTAAACTGTTTGTGAATAAGATGGCTAGTGTGATTAACACTAATACCTGTAAGCATTCTTGACATGTGATCTGGTTCTCAACAAATTATGCGTCTCTTGCAAGTGTTCATTTAAACCTGTTGCTATCTGTACAGGATCTATACTGGTGTTAAAATGTATGAGGCTCAAGTATGCACAGGATGCATCTTATTATCTGCTTTGTGTTCTGAACAGTTTGGCATGGTTCTGTATAGATGTCACATTCTGTTCAGGCTCTGAGCCATAATGTGTGGAACCCATCGCGTCTTGTCTTTATAACATCCAGCATATATGCCATGTAATTGACACCATCAAGTCCCAATGCACTATTGCACAGATACTACAAAGCAGAAGCCGCACTACTAACTGAGCTTGGATTGACACACAACTGCCGTCTCTACCACTGCTATACATAGCAGAAGCATTTATGTGTAGTTCAGTGGAAGATCGATTCACACTCTCAGTAGTGGATGGTGGATATTGCCTACCTTTCTGCTAGAAACCAATAGGACAATGTCAGTTCTATCAGATACATTTCCAATAGGCTAAATGAAGGTGGAATCAGTTCAGATGGAAGCAATCTTCCTAATCAATGTAATTTCCGTCTGCAGGATAACCTGGTTTTCACGTTCACATGCTTTTGGTTTTGAAGGAATCGGGGCACTTTACACTAGTGGTGAACTTGTCACTTCTGAATCAGTTTGTAGGCATATGGTCTTTTCAGATGGCCATGCCACTCAGAACAAACAGCTACATGGTGACACTGGATCTAAATGATGCATACCTACATGTACATGTATACATCCAGACAGCCCACTTCTTTTTTGTGGTTTGCAGTAGATGGACTGCATACTGATTCCATGCGTTTGCCTGACTCCTTGTTTACATCCATTAGCATGGTGGTAGATGTACCACACCAGGGGCATTTCTCTCATCAGAGCAGCAGTACAAGATTGTGCTATAGTTCTTGTTTAGTGCCTCTATATGCAGCAGCCTTTGCACCAGGTGTGGCAAGTTCTACCCTTTTATGATAACCTAGTCTTTCAAGCTGACACAGTTTACCTTATTGACTAATCACCACTTCATGGCTAAGAACCAGAGCCAAGATGAACTGGGGTCTTGCATATTCTTCTCATTGTTGGTAGCGGTTATCTGCTATCGTTGCCCCGCTATCCATATGGTTACTGGAAGCCATTAATCTTAAGCTATACTTCACAGTAGCCATATTTAGCAAGATGCATGATTTTTTTTTATCTACAAATGGAATTACCGACCAGACATCCCAGCTGCCAATGCTGGATTAGAATGTGGATATGCACAAGTCAACAAAATCTCACAAACATTGATTTCTTGTGGTACTCGAACCTATTTGATCATGTTGGATTCTGCTTATTGGATTTACCAAGGCACCAGTAGGGTATTACCTTTGGTCTTGGTATTCTGCTTCATACTGTTAAAGATATGCAAGTTACAAAGTTGTAACTGTACCGAACTTAATTTGTCTATGTTAGACAAAGTCTATCTTCATTCAATAATGGTAGTTATTTGACTAGTAATTATATAAACTTGAAGGAACGCTTTAGTCAGTTTCATTGCCTATTACTGCCAATTTCACAATCGCAGATGCCAGAGCTGGTCTAGCACAAAGATAAGAAGCGACGCCAATTTGCATATTGGGGTTGTTCATTGTTCGACAACCAAGGGTTGTACCATTAAAATCACACAAGGAGGCTATAATATTGTGATTATACACATATATTTGTCCAGTTTAGACAATATCGAAATACAGTTTCTTCTAGTTCATACTATATGTGTATATGGTGTGTGTATCTATGACAACAAATTTAAAGAATTGTACTTTTAATATATTTATTAAGTGTTGAAACAAACTCTGTATGTACACAACAAATAGACTCAAATAGAAATGATAGAACACTTTAATTGAAATAAATCTTAATAAAACCTAATTCTTGATACTTTAAATGTGTTTACTTTAAACTTGCACTTAAAACCCACCAAGTTCTTTTTGAACAATTGCAATACTATGTTGCCAAACTTTATTTACACTAAATGTCCTGTTTTCAAGTCTCACTCGCTTTCTTAAATCAAATATATTTGATCTTAAAAGGTTCTCCAACTTTTATATGCTTTTGTTTTTGTGAGTTGTTCTCGGAGTGACATTATAGATAAAAAAACTGACAAAATGTTACTGTGCTAAGAAGAAACCGCAAAAGCTAAGGGTGTGAATGGGTGATCTGACAGATACATTATCCCTCGAACTATTTGAACATTATGTTATTGGATTTTGGCGTCCACGAATTAGATCCTATATATTCATGTCCTTGTACTCGGAAACTTCTAGGTAACTGAAACTACTTTACACCATATGATATCCTGGTTCAAGTATTCATCTAACAATTGGTCTGGTATGTCTGAAAATGTGATGCTAAACTGTGTTGTACTGGCCCAAATGATGAATACCTAGAATGTAAAATCCTGGTCATATGCATGGTGCTAATTTACTTAAAAATCTTACATCCCATAAACTGTATTTAAAAAATCATTTATAAATAGATAAAAGTTACTATATACTAACAAAATTTAGGTAGATTCAAAGATAGATGTTAAAGGGTTTGCAACCAAGTACACTACAATAAGTGTTGCTAATTGCCTCTGCTCAGTATTGCACTATAATTGCGCCTGCTTTACAAATAAATAAAGTATTGCACGATGTATTCTTTCTACTGTACCAAATTATAATGAGACAATCCTTCACTTAAATATATCAAATTAGCCACACCATCACTTAAAACAGTGATCGACTGTACAAAATTCCTGAGTTACCATGGGGATAGTTCAAGGCTTGTGACATCAACAGTCGACTTGAATCACTCATAGGATCAGAGTTGTACCAGTCTGCGAATTGCATGCTGGGATACTCGTAATGTCCAGCATACGGCATAGGGCTGAGTGGTGTATGCTCTGCGTAGCCATGGCTTGCCATTCTTGCATGTGCGTGCGCATTTCGCCAGTGATCTGATTCATACCAGGAAGTAAAGTCATACTGATTCGCTGATTTGTAATGATCATATCCATGTTGGCTCATGTCCTGCTGCATGAATTGTGCACGTGATTTGTTAAAAGTGTCTGTGTAGACATGGAATTCGTGTTTCAGCGTTGATAGCGGTTTATCATTGTTATTGTTTCCAAGGTACATGGAGACAAGCAAATCGATGTATGTACCATTATCTTCATCTTGACTGTATCCGTGACTACCGGTGAGCTGGCTCATTGTTGGTCCTTGTGTTCCAACTTCTGGTGTTCCTCGTGAGTAGCTATGACAGACATTGGTCAGCTCACTAAAGACAGGATCTCCGCTAGCAGGTGGAGATGTAGGCATATTCTCTCTATGTGAGGTACACACAGCACCTGTGTTGCTGCTGGTCATAGTAGAGCTTTCTTCATTTGATATTGGTGCTATGCTCTCTGAAGACGTGTGGTGATGGTGGTGATGGTCATGATGAGATTCTGAGTGAAACTCTCGCTGAGAGGTCGGGATTGTTGGAGAAAAAGCCGAATTCGTAGACTTCAGGGTATTGACTGTAGTCGTGTTTTCATGTACAGTTCCACGCACATCAAAGAAATCAAGCAAAGAAGGCAGATCACCTGTTGTACTATCATTAAGTTTTTGTTCAGCACTGACAGTGTCTGAAGGAAGACGCTTGATAATGCTGGCATTCTGTGAATCCTCCTCCTCCTCCTTAACTGTAAGACACTGTTGCAATCCGTCAGAGCCTTCAACATCTGACTCTGAATGTGTTTTCACACGTTTTAAACTTGGGGTGTTGTACAGAAGTGGTGGTGCTTTTCTCTTAGTTGGGCTTGATAATTCGTAACCAGGGTGGTTATTAATGTATGTTGTGGAGTCAGCCATACTTTGATCATAGTACTCCTTATTCCTCTCCGAGTACGAGACTTTGTCATTTTCAAATATATCTGACAACTGTCCGTCTGTCAACTTGTGTGTTTTGTCTTTCATCTCCTTCATCATTTGTCGACGTTTCAGCATATTCTGGAGAAGGGGGATAGTTGACTTCTTGCCATTTCCATCATTCCTTGCAGGAACCGGTTTCTGGAAATAGGTGTTCGGGCAGCTGAAATCAACTTCGTCAACACTGTTGTTGTAGTAGCCATAATCCCCGGAGTTGTTACTATAATAGTTATCAGAGGAGTATTGTGAACTCATTCCTGTGAAAAAATAAATTAACAAAATGGTCAGTACTTGAAGTCAGAATGCTCTGCTTATATCGCTTGGTGGTTATGGTAAGTTATGGTAACAATCCCAAAGACTTAAAGATAAAGATAGATAAAAAAAAACATAGATCACAGTTGTCAGTTTGTATGTCGTTTTGAGAAGGGTGGGCTGGCATCAGTACTCTGACCGAATGGTTTTAATTTAACATCCTTGCGTTACAATCAAATTGGTAGACGTTTTCATTGGATAGAGAAGTCATTTGGTAACACTCACTCCCCTTAAGCACCCACGTATTTACCTTAATCATGGTCGAATTATCCGGCACATGAATCTCATTAAATGCGGTAAAAAATGTATATATTAAATAGTATATTTAAATTGGACTTCACGGCAGTATGGAAATTGTCACACTGGCCGTTATGGAATTCAAGCTCCCGCAACTCTCTTAAAAATGTTTGAAATCTATACCCTCTGAAACGCTATTTCTTGCATTTTGAGGGGCACATTTTGCTGACAAAAAGGGTTTCAGTCGATTTTGGAGGGGCGACCCCCACATTTTGGATTGATACATCCTGCCCCCCCCCCGTGCCGCCCCCATTGCAACGCCACATCGCACTACCCCCAAAACACAGCTAGATAAATACATTTAAAAGGCATGTTTGAACACTTTTTCAGAATAATAACTTGGCATTGTAACGAGTTTGCCATTATTGGAAACCGTTTATCAATTTAGAACTGGTTTATATTCTAATTAATTCTCAAAATCTGCCATCCTGGCATTCCATTCAGTACGTTTCATGACAACACAAACGGCCAAACGTCATTGCTTCTATGTATCGCCCACTGTGGACAACACATTCTTGGGATTTACAGGTGTATACATGAAGTAAACAGTAAAGATGGCGTATACGTAGACGTAGACATTCACTGCGTGGGTGTAAGGTGAACTAGATCTCGAATCTGTAAGGGCATTGACTTAGTTTTACAGTGCTTTCAGAGTTCACAGGAATGATATGTTCAGTAGGATATGAGTTGCACGTACATAATTCCGATTGGTATTGATTACTATTCGACATGTGGATTTATTAATGGTGTATCTTTTTTCTTTTGGTGCATATTGGACAAACAATTGACAGGTTTTCGATGAATTTGCCGTTGACGTATTGCCAAAATAATTGTATTCTGATAAAAATGTAATTGGAGATTACAACCCGACCGAAGATGGTTCGTTTCTAGTTGGAGTCGAAGTTAAGAACGAAAGATCGGTTTGTAATAAAAATGAAATATCTGTGATGTTTTTGCGTGTATGCGTTCGTTCTTTGAGTCGATGTTTTGTGTAAATGTAGTCTTCCAAGCGAGTTGAGTTCTTCACGCCCCGCAACACCTTAGAATCTAAACGTAACAGATCACCACATCAATTGCGCTGAAGATCTCCGAGCCGATTGAAATCGAAACACATGTATAACACACTAATACGAGGACAACAAATGTTTTTGCCTTCAATACATTGAACATTTTATAATGTCAATAGCCATGTCCGGAAGATGCCGTTATTTTTAAACTTTTAGTTTGAATTACGATATTCTGTCGATACTTTAACGTACATTGCTTGAACCATTATTCTAATGTACGTCTCGTATACTCCGTCGCATGAGTCTACCTCCCGTTGAAGCGGACATGACGGTTATCTGATCGTAATTTGGCTTACCGTTATGTGACCCTCCGTATAGACCGTAACTGTACATCTCGTTGGAGGACTGGTACCACTGCTCTAAACCGGGATTTGTATGAAAGGATTGTTGTCCGTTAGCCGCGTACCCGCTGTATGATGCTGGTCTACCTTGTGTTACAGGGACTGGGAATGAATGAGATAAAATACACTGTCACGAACATTCTGGATTTTCAAAAATTGTTCAAAAGGTGTTCTTGTATTTTAATATGCAAATATTATGTTCTTGTTTGCACATACAAATACAATCAGTTACTTGTGTAAGTATGTATATTTGTTTGACGTCATTCCGCTGACAAACAGTGAAGGACGCTCGGGGCAAACTATTATAATTTGTGCAAAATTGTCAAATAAATATGGGTAATTTCTCGTTTTGAACTTCGAAAAAACATTCATATGTATAATAGTATGTGTTATGAATATATTACTCATGCAGACTACTGTCTCGGGCGTTTCTATGGTGATAACACAATATCTAAACACAGGCAATATCTGTAACGTGCACACTGCTAGCACAATATCACAAATTGGTCTAAAGTGATGTTGAAATTGATCATTCTGTTTCGAAATATCTGAACTTTGACCCTTAATAGACCCGCTAAATCAGCAGTGGGTGAACGAACCCACTGACGGGTACACTTTCTAAATTGTGGATTGTGCCGAAAACATCGAAAACACGCGACCACGATGCACGTGGATAGGAAACTGAACATCATGTTTTGTTTGTTTGAAGCGAAACTTTCAAGTATAGCTTTGTCAATACTTGAAACTTACAGGAATTGTCAGTTTCGCCAGCGTTCACTTGTTTCCCTAGATTGGGTTGTGATTGGTTGTTTTTCATAGACCTTTCAAACCCTGGCAAGTCGCCGAAGTCTTGCAAATGCAGCTTACCATCTCCACCGCCAAGAAGAGTCTGTGCCTCCCTCAGTTGCCTAGCAACGCGGTCGACTCGATTGAAAGACTTGTGAATATGCACTCCCTGTAAAAATAAATTAGACAACTATCATTAGGAACCAAAAAGGCACGATGGATGAATTATGCTATATTCTCCAAATAAAGTCCGAAAGCAGTCCAAGCCGAATTCACATTAGTTTGAACTACTGAGCATGTTTTACTATTATTCAAATTCATATCAACAATCATATTTCATCTTATGCCACTGAGCAGAATTTGAAAGAATGCAATTTTTTTTTTGGTGACCCATTTTTTTTTACTTTCGGTATCACAATAGTATTAATACCGAAAACATGAATATTATGAAACCTCCTCAATAATCTAAAGATTAAAGTTGTTTTTGAATGACTTACAATTTTTTTACAAATTTCTTTAGGTCTTTCGTGGCGATGCGATCTGTGGTATTCCAGCAATGCAATCTTCGCGGAAGATGTTGTTTTAACAACATCCGGTCTTGGGTGGTCATGATACCCTTTCGACTGGAATATGACAACTAATTCTGTTATGAAAAAAATAAATAAAAATAATTAGTCGCTATTTTCAATCATGTATGTTTGGCGTCTCCCTTCTATTAGTGTTCTAACCCGAGAATCTACATAAGTTGATCATGCCCTCTCTAGTCATATTATACATTGCTGCATATGAATCACAAACACACACAAGAGGGCGCTGTATCTTTCGCCAATGCATTTTGATTCAAAGATGTGGAATATATATATTGCACCTCAACGATAATAGGCCTTTATATTTTTGAACACGTTTTGATCTGATAATGGTGTTTTTTTTTTTCAAGTTAATAGAAATCTTTGAAAATTAGCAACAAAACACTACTTGCTTGTATCATTGAATAAAAGCTCGTAAGTAGATGAAACAGATCCCGGAACAATCACCAAGTTATGACAACTATTTGTAACATTTCCAGTCTAGCTTTAACTGGTTTTACCACCCCTTAGAGGGGGGCGTGTCCTCAACATGTGCGCGAATGGTATGGGAATAAAACTTGGTGCCACACGGTCGACAGTTTTATATATAATCTAATTCAATAGCGTATAATAAATGCCGTGTCTCTTATTCTTGAGAATAGCCGCTTATATTAACGCGGGAAAAAGCAACGCTGACGTCATTGAAGACATGGTGACGTAGCAGCTTTTTTCCAATCACGGTTCACTTGTGTATGAAATTGTCTCATGTTAATTTCTCACGCAACACAAAACGGGGTCCTACTACGCCAGTGAGTGTACCACTTAGTAACAAACACTTGAAACGCGACATTGTTTACCCATCAGTGCACTCTATACTAATACAAATACTACCGTATGGACATGCGCAATTTGTGAAACCTAACAAAGGCTGTGATACTGCTGGTTGGCATGAGATCATCGCAAGTAGGGATAAATAACTTATTCAGTTGAAATAATAACAAATATGGTTATGCGAGACGCTAGCTTACTGAAGTGTCTCGGGCTGCTGCTAAGCAACAGGTGATTTGCGTAATCTTTTTGAATGTAGGGGTGGGTCGAGACGGCGTTTGGATATGCCAATTCGTCATTATGGGTCGTTGACATGTTAATTCAACCACAGCACACGTACGTATAGTGCGCCGGGCGGAATAGGGTAGGCTGCGTTTCCCTCGTTGTGACTGGTCTTCCTTGACTGATGTCATTGACCTTATTTGTACAAGTACATTCCCAGATTAACTAACTATTCAGTTATATTAGTTTTCTAGGATTGACTCAAAAGCAACTGAGATTAGGAATTCACGCGCGGATTTAGAGGAGCCCCCCCCCCTCAGCCTGCAAAAAAAAATGACAAATCAATTGAGAAACCCAGCCCACCGGAGGTCTACTTCGGCAACGTCGATAGGAGCGCGCCCCCTTTCCGAATTTCTGGTTCAGCCAGTGGAATTTGAATATTGATCAAAGGTCAAACACTCGATGGGTCGATGAAAGTAAAAACTAAAATACTCACCCATTGGTCTCCAAAAGTGTGTGACTGGATAACCACCCTTCCCGGCACATTGTACGTGTACGAGTCGTCCATCGCATTCAGGATTGGGACACTTTTTCTCGCCCTGCTTCTTTCTCGCCCTGTCCGACGTAGCTGGTCTCACGCTAGTTCGTTCCCCTTCGCTGTTGACGCATGATTTACTACAGACAAACACACCTACGATAGAAATAGAAGTATTGAGGTTTTATGTATTTATTGAAAATTAAAACTCACATAATATTGATATTCTCTCATAAGCAAAGCGTCACGAGTTGGTCGTACGAGTTGTAAATATCACAGAGCGTGCTCTAATTATGCGTGGGTATGTATTTTTTTTTACCCTGACTAAAAAAATAATCCACATAGGAGGAACTCGAGCGAACCACTTAAGCCTTTCAATAAACAAATAATACGAAAATTAGAAGTCTTCCCGAAAATTTAGATCAGCGCGGAAGAATAATCATTTGTTCTAGCATAACGTGCAAGAGATTTACTTTAAATTAGCCATATCATATATCTGGAAAGTCTAGAGAAACATCGCAAAAACGTCACTTGAACATAATTCGTGTCTCTTTCATCGTGCCTTTTCTATTATATATGTGTATGTCAATTTTATCAAAGTAGGTACATGTTTAAATACTGCGTTTCACTGAATACCTGAAATAAATTGTTTCCCGGTGCAATTTAGCGGACAGCATCAATGCCGTGTTTATTGCTACTCGTAAAATGCTAACACTCGTCACGCGATAATTCCGGAAATGACGTCACACCGCCTGCCTTTATTTTTTTACTGTCACATGGAAGTAAATCTGTATTTTCACACAGCTTTGCCACATTCAAGTTGAAAAAATGCATTTCTACAGACGACATTAGCTATTAGCGTTCACTGTGTGTAGCAATGCATTTGAGGGACAGCGTTCTGGGGATAAGTGGCGGATTAAGCGACGTCGAAATTGTCTTCTTTGGTCGTCCAAAAACATTTTTTTTTGAGAGAGAGAGAGATTCACTATGTTTAAATGAAAAAAAAAATAAACCAACAGCGCTGTCTAGTGTTAAAGTTGACCTCGCCACGGAAATATAGGCCGCATATCTTGAAATATACGAGTCGTGTTTTAAGAATCGGTCTGCACAATGAATTGATGATGGATAGTAACATAAATAACATGTAATATTACAATAAATACATAGCATTGTTTATGAGTGCAACCACTTCGTTGTTATGGATATTTAAATAATGCAACAAGTGCAGACAGTCTCAGGGCTTCGGAATATGCTATACAAGAATACACAACACAATGCAATTTGCTGGGCTTCCCCTAAATAAGATATGGGATTTGAACAACACGAAACATTGACGGTAAAAAGGCACATGGGTCTGTAAATACCTTACATGTATGTTTATTATAGAATAGGCGATGAGAATGAAAACAGTTTCAGTACTTTAAACACGACTCCCTCTCGCTTTCCATATCTGTCTGATCAAAAGTTAAATGCTCTACCAATGCCATACTGGTTCCCTGGAAAGCTTTGAAATAATTTATATCGGTTTGGCCAAGTGTGTTTTTGCGACATCATTTTAACCGAAGAAATCCACAGACGAGCAGGCTCATCAGGTTTGTCACGTGACGAACGCTGGTTCTTAGCGATCATTTTGAGAATATCTGTGACGCGTGTTTGGAGTCACAAAACTGACACTCAGACGGCGTGCCGTGGTTAGTGACCAAACCGTTTTACACCACGAATTACCGTACTATAGGGGCAATTATCCGTGATATATAACCTCTTTCACAATAGACCGCTCCGTCTGCATTCCGGGCACGTAATAGTGCAGCGCGACACGCTTGTATTGTGGGTCTTGCTCAATACCGTACGCTAAACGAATCGATACCGAGCTTAAGAACTTGCTCTAGCAAACAGCACAGATGTTTAAGCGACGATCGTTCAGCGTCTCACAGACAGTCTCATATCATTTCCGAGAGACGTGTCGTCGAATTTTGTTTGAGGAAGTGCATGTCTCTGCTTACAGTAGTTTTTTTTTTGGTCTGGTAACGTGTGACTAAGTGTTGGTGTCTTAGTCAATTTAATCTGACAGCTGATGTCTTTACTAGATTTTGAAAAAGACTTAAAGTATTTTCCAGAGTCCGGAACATAAGATTCGTAATGCTACAACCCTTATAATGAGTAAACCGACCCAATTACGATGCATTACCCCTCACATCTTATCGTGTTTTTTTTTTTTTT